TTTGCTCATATCTCGAAGGCAAAATGAGCAAGAACGCTCATTTGTACATCATTCTAGAGAGAAATAAATGGCCTTTTTAGAAAGTGAACCATCGAAAAGGAAATGTTGGCAGTTTTCTCAAAAAATGCTTGAATTCAAGAAGTTTTAGGTTCTGCTTTTTTCGAGGTTTCTCAAGAACCATTCGAGCCAGAGAATTCGTTTTGGCATCGTTGGATATTATTGTGGGCGAAGACCTTGCGACCGAAAAAACGACTTGAAACTTCAAAAGAGCGCACATTTGCAACAAATTAATCAAACCATGTCGACCAATGACGTCTATTACAGAGCCAATTCCAATATTGAGGTTATAAATCCGCCCTTACCTTGAAGATTGATTGATTCTCCCTCATCGAATTGCATTTCTGCATCCAGCCAAATCTTCAGCTGTGAGAAAAACCCCAGAAAGTCCTTCAGCTTCCAAACGCGCACTTTGTAAGCGCACATTCACTCCGTTAGTCGGCGCATGTCAAGTTCTGACCGTCAGCTTGACACAAAATCACGACAAACTCAACTTTAAAAATAGCGTTTTTTTGCCAAAAATTCCACTACCGGCCGGGAAAACTCGATCAAACGATGCGGAAAACTTAAATTTACAGAAAATCGGCAAATTTTTCCCGGGAAGTTGGAAAATTTCGGAACTTTTCGACATTTTAACGGCGCAAACCCCGCACGTTGTTGGCCCATCCGCCATTAAACAGTTGACTGATTTGACGCTTTAACCAATATTTTCATACTCAAAATTGTTAAATTTTATAGTACTTTATTTGAATATGGACGAGGAACTTGAAACATAAAACACACACCAAAAGTGGGCGAATAAAAACGACCAGTTTGTCGGAAATATGCTGTATTGAGTGGCATCCGCGAAGTTCTGCCGAATACAATTATAATATAATTTGAAGTTATAAAAACAATGAAAGCCTAACTAATGGAATAGAAAATACTTCGCAAGAAGAAAGAAGGACAGAAAACAATTTTATAACTATGAGGGCGAAGAACTGGAAACATACTTTGCCAAGGTTTATAAATAATTCACTATTTACATGCAGTTTAAGTCCAATGTTTGAATTAAATCTCCAACGTTCTTAAAAATGTCAACATTTGCGAATTTTAAACAAAAATATGAACTAATTAATTTTCGAATATCCAAAAATTCAATCAAAACCGTTACAGGTTCCCATTTCCTTTTTTGGAATTTTGTTCGAAATCTAGTCCTAATTACAAATAAACTAATTATATAGTTTTCATATCTTTCAGACAACAAAATTCCGCACTTCTTCGCCTCATAAATTGTAGATTTACGAATGCATAATTAAAACTGGTAAATGTAGTGTCCTATCGTCTATACGGATGGTAAGGCTGTGAATTACCGGAACCATACGAAGAATTCCTCTGAGGCCCTCCTGAGTAGCAATCGCCCGCCGCTGGGCTTTGAGCGTATCCTGAATAGTCTAAATTGTTCAAAAAAGTCTCGATTACTATGCGCCCGCTTACATTTAGAGATGGCAATCGAAGTTACCCTTCTTAGGTCCATTGGAGGAGGATGGCAGTGTAGATCGGGATAAATCTAGGGAATTAGCGGGAAAACAAGACAAACCACTGGCATCAGTGGAAACTAGGTAACAAGGCGGGGGACCTGCAATGGGAAACCCTCCAAACTTCTGCGCGCAAAACGTACTTACGTGAGCAACGAAAGAGTTCAGTTCACAGGAAAACTCGTTTAACACTAATACTGTTCAGACCATTATGGCAAGCTCAGGAGACTAATGGGTTCATAAAAATAGCGGGTAGTACAGGAGAAAACAGGTAGGAGTTTGGCAAAGAACTCCACCTGAAACTTTCAGCACCTTCAAGTGCTTGCCCTAGATCGAAAGTTGAAATTTTTTAAAACATTGGGTAAAAATACAAGCTATTTATACATAAAATTGGCTTAAAGCTTATTGAGTTTCTAACAACCGTCTAAGGAATGTTCTTTACCAAAATCCACCACTCTGGAAACTTTGACTGCAATAGCTTGCCTTCGTTGAACTATAATTCACTACAATCTAGTAAAATTAAATAACTAACAAATTAAGTGACAAACGCCACAACAACCTTATAACAATAATAATATTTATATCAGAAATTTGGGGTGGTCTACTCTAGTTGTTTCAGTCAATCATGTTCAATCCAACAGCCCAACTGGACAAAGTTTACAGTTAAATCGCCCCTTTCTTATGTCGGATGAGGTGTACGATGATGTAAAGCGCGATAAGAATGAAGAAAATGGACGGGATTGACCAGGAAAGGTTCAAATTAGAGATTCAAAACGGCTTTACAATTTATTTCTCATTGTCCTCGATAATGATATTAGGTACATACCTTTAAGTATTTTCAGTTTGAGATTAATCTAATAGACATTTCAGACTATATATTTAGAGTTTAGTTATATGATATTCAATACTATCTATTCTACTATTAATCCCAAATACAAATGCACTACAATTATTACTTTAGATATTTAATAGTTAATATTTTTAAAATAGATTAATATTAATTTGCTAAAAACCAGGTCTCCGTGTGTTATTTTAACAATTACGCCTACTTTATAGAATATTTTACGACAACCCAACACTTAAATTATGTACTTTATAGCTTAATACGACCAAGTCAATTTATATAGTGTACGTGACAAGTATAGGACATTTGTGAACTAATCAAGATTCGAAACAATGAACATGGAACGCCAGGAGGTTGGAGTTGACGATCAGTTTAGTTAGCAAAAATGATTCGATGTGAGAGGATGGCAACACTAGTGTCCCACACTTGTGTACTCGATCACTTCAATTAATTTTGTGGTGTGAATAGCTGACACATTGTGGAGAAAAATCCAATATTTTCGCAATGAAAACACAAAACTGGGTTAGTTTTACGCTTAAAACATACATAAGTTAATGAACACCTTCAAAACCCGTTTCGAGTACACTTCGAAGGGCATTAAAACCTACTTCATTCATGCAGTGTTGAAGCTGAGATCTACCAAATTGCTATTGAACGTCTTTGAAAAATTGTCTATGCCCTTTCCCATGCATAAATACAGTTCGAGTTGAATCGTTTTGTGTAGTCATTGTTAAATATCGGCCAAAATGAGGATGAGGGAGTCAATAGGAGGGACATGTAGTAGTAGTAGTAGTAGTAGTAGTAGTAGCAGTAAGAGCTAATGAACTTGTTTCCTTTCCTTAGACACTTAACTAGAATTAACACGAACATGTCGAATAACTATATCAGACTTAATTATTTAAATAAGTTCCAACACACTTAACAATTAAATTGCTCACACTCATATATGAATATACAGTTTCGAGATGTACTATGTATGAAAAACGTAGCTCAACGCAAATACAAAATAATCGATTTTTGAGCAAAACTGTTAGTTTTGTAATTCGATTTAAATGGCCCTTACATTTTGCAACAAGAAAACCCATCAAATCCAGTAGTTTCAAAGTAATGCAGCTAGAATTAAGGTAGTGTTTAAAGGAATACGCCACACCTAATTACATTTTGGTCTAATCTCAATGTGTAATAGTGAGTAATCTAATAGTTAAAATTATGATTACGAAAAGCAATATTTATTCTAGATAACTCTAAAGTTAATACATAGTTGATCTTAAGATACCCGACTTTGAGCTGATTGAGAGTTTTGATTTTAATTATTAGAACTAACGCAAACTAGCACCCTTATTACTAGCATCTTAAAACTAGCAGGTTTGAAATCGGGTTATGCTAGAAATAAAACACACCAGCAAAAATGTATGGATTTGAGAGTTTATTTGCTTCGAAACTACAAACGAGCGGAAATGCATTTCTTTAAAAACTACGGTACTTTTAGTCAGTTCATCTTGTACTTTAAAAATGTCAGGGCATCTAAATATTAAACTTATACAACTATTTTGCTAGTTTTATGAGGAATTGCACTATCATATTAAGAAGGCCCTAATTTTGTATTGTTTTTATCGTTAATTTTAAAACTTATTCAAGTATATCTCTGTACATCAGTCGATTTGGTCTAATTTTTACTTCAACTATGTTTAAATTTATTCAATCATAAAATATTACACTAACAAGTCAATGATAACTAGTACAATTAATTAACTCGAAAACAATAATTCTTAGTGTATTCCTTTACCATTAGTTACTCTAAGATCTAGCTATATTAAAATAAATTACTTTTAATACAACAGTTCTTTTACTAATTAAAATGCTTTTTAAATGTATATTAATATATTCGTGTGTTCCGTTATTAATTCTTTATTAAACTTTGAATATATATTCCAAGAACTAATATATTTAGCTAATTTTTCAGGTATACTGGATAATTATTCTTTTCCCTTTGAAAATGTGACACGCCCCAACTTTTAACTATACTCGAAGGATTTACTAAAATGACTGAAGAGTTTTCGTTTCAAGCGCATTGCGTCTAATCGACTCCTGATCTGAACCTGAAGAGCAGTAAGTCAAGTGTATAATCGTGTGTAGTCGTTTGCGATATAGTTCAATTAATTTGTCTAATCATGTAGTATGTACATCAACTATATCCGTATCCCTCCACCACATAAGAAAGAGAATTTGTAATATTTTAATCTGGAGCCAGAACGAATACTACCATACTTAATAAATACTGATCATTTCGAACGACAACAGGGTGTTTTCTTTAACTAATCTAGCGGTTTTAACAGGCAAGCAGTCCGTACTTATGGTTGCAGTTTTTGGGATCAAAGTTATCTATTAGATAAGCTAATCATGAGAGAGCTTTTATAGCATATAGAAGCCACCTCAAGCGTAGCTTTCTACGCCCAGCAACCAGATAATGCGTTTATTTTCATATTTTCAACTGAATAATGTAAACATTGCCCAGGACATTAGATTGTCACATTGAAACAAAACATTGTTTGCCGAATTTACACTGCAAAATGGAAAACTGTAATTTAATTAAAACAACTATGATTGGCAAGCACGACCTACGTAGTTTGAACGATGCATATTAGCCCAAATGTACCGGCAAGTTGATTGATAGCAATAAGTACAGGCGAAGACATGAAAGGTCGTTTCTTGCGGAAGCAACAGCATTTCCACAATTTTTGAACGAAATTAAGATTAACTAAGTATGAGTGTTCGAGTATTTACAACAGACAGACAGAAGGGGCCCTCAAAATCTTAGTTCCTTACTAATAACATACACATAAGGTCGATATTTATCGCATTAGAGGAGAATCTATGATAATTTAACTTTTATAATATAGATCACAACCACATAGTCCGCTTATATATTGTTAACTATTACAATTAGTTATTTATAATGTATTATAATTTAATTACTCTAAAAATGGATTAAGTCTTTTGCATCTAAACTAAAATTAGATATAGTACGTAATACATTTCAAATAGTTACATTAAATGACGGTGGAACAGAATATAAAATTATTATTAAAACGTAGTCAATCATATTTTTAAGTAGTAAATTGTAATTGTTTATAGTTTATGATACCTCAGTCGTGTAGTTTGTCGTTACTCTGGACTGATCCACCACTTTGAAATCAAAATTTAAAAGAAGTCAGGCAAATGCGTCGATCCCAAATTGGTGGGCAAGCGAGCACGCTTAATACTAAACAATTAAAAAACAGTAACGTCTTAAGAAAGGTTCAAGCAATAGCAACCTTAATTCAGAATATCTTAGAGAATAATTACAGCCCAGATCTAAATGATATTCCTACAAAGCTACTGATTTATATTTAAAAATGGGGCGTGGTTGTGCACTATTTATGTATTTATTTATTTACAAAAAATAGTTATCATCATCTTAGGTAATAGAATTATATCCTACTCGAAATGCGCCGTCGGACTATCTGCCACAAAATTTGCAATAACACGTTAATTTCAACTGGAACTGTACAAAACACGCTTTAACTAAAATTTCTATCTAAACAGAAAGGAAATTTGCGACTAGACTTTGTGTGAACTTCAAACGCTGTTACGACAAACTTTAAACAACGAAATGCACCGGTGCAACATTAAATAGTTAGTTGTAGTTTTCCGTTGCCGCGGTACATTTAAAACGAATCTAAAGCTAGCAAGTTTTAAAAGAAATGCACTTCTATTTGACAATCGACCTAACTCTACGATAAAATCAACCTATCGACTAAAATAAAGAAATCACTAGGATTCGAGTACAGTGGTAAACTCTAGTGTATTAGATAAAATGCTAAAAAAATTGCAGATAGTCTGACCTTTCGCGGAATTAAATAAAATTTTTGCAACGTTTCCAATGAATCTAGAAGAGAAATTCGGGCATTAGACCATATACTTGTTGATCTTTACGTCGTACCGACAGCACGTTTTATATTGTAATTAGCTCGGGCATATGTAAAGACCACTTCCACACACATATCTTACATTACCGTAAACATTAATAAATAGTTAATAAGTTGAGGTATTTTCGATTCAATCGTTCAATGTCTAAATAAGTATTTATAAAAATTACTTCAACAAGATTTTGTGAGCGGTTAAGTCGTGTTTTAAATGTTGTAACATTTGCGGGGGGAAAGTAACCACTTGAACGAACGGGCGGGAATTTTGATTTCGATTAAACGTTGCTGTGGGGGTGGCGGTGGTTTGAAAATGCTACAAAATTTAAATCGGGACATCTAATGATACTTAAAAATAGTTAACGCGGCAGTAAGAGGGCACCATTTCTGTCTGTTTGCAGTCGTCGCTCAGCATCTTTTTGTGCCTGCTCGATGGACCACGTGACCCGGCGTTTGTCCGCCCTTTGTTAATAGATAGCTTTTTACTTATACCATAATATAATTGTTACACAACAACTAATACCCCTAATTCTGATTAAATATGTGAGAACTTATGAATTTTCTCGTGCCAGTGTCGAGTAGCTGACTAACTGAGCGACAAATCGCGCAATAGTTGAACGGGACATAGAGCCTCGGCGGTTTAGAGCACGGCAGAACCTCGGAACAATCTCTGTTTGCAGACATTGTTTTATTGGCAGCGGTACCTACCAGCAGCCAGATACTCCCATGCTCCAGACCGGCATCTATGTAGGGCGATGAAAGGCCCCAGTCCCGTTGCAGTTGCCCGATTTGTGGTCAGTGAGACAGCTCGACGACAGCAGCGGAGACTGCCCGAACGGCCAATCCCGTACCAGGTACGGCCGCAGGAGCAGTACCTTGACCATCAATAGGTTGTCATGACGCTGGCCACTCTTTAAAATCAGTGAAGTGCTTCCCACCTGCAGCTTGGGGTGGTTGACTGGAATAACCACCCGTTGAATCGGCGGTTCCATACGGGGCCGTGGACCGAGCCGAATAGTCCGAGTAGGACCCATAGGCGGAACCGTACGACGCAGGCCCGTAGTCCGAGCCGGGCTTCGAGGCGGTACCAGCGCTTGGTGCAGTTCCGGGCGGACCCGACGGATTGGCTGCAGCCGATTGGCCACCTCTAGAGTAGACGTCTCCAGTGGCCATGTAGCCTGTGGATGAGACATGCGTTGTAGCATAAACCACGGGCGGGAGTTCTCAGTTCGAGGAGGAGACATACGAATTCGGAGAAGTTAACGAATCCCTTTCCGTTTCACTTGTTCCGGCGCAACAAACAAACATTGATCTCGATCAGTGCATCATTTCCCGTCAGTACTCTCATTCGTTAAGTTCTCCAATTAGCTCATTGTCAAGGTACATTTTACTCTACAAAGACAACTAGTTGTGACCCAAAGGAAAATTAAACCCACACGCATGCACAAGCAGAACCAGGGTTTAAATGGCATCGGTATGGATCGATCGAATTTTTCACTAAAAATCCCAGAGGCTTTCGCTGGTGAGTCTTCGGGTTCTACAAGCTCACTGAACTGAATCAGACTTCGACTGAGAAATCTTGTGAAAGGCAGTTCAGCGAGCTTGTAAAACGTCTCGTCAGAAATTCGATCCCACAAACATGCATCACAGTTAAATCACACTCTGAAGAAGCACCGGCTAACAAAACCAAGCACAGCTGAATGTATGATGGAGCACCGAAAGCGTTGAAAAACTAAACAAATTTGAATATTTTCGATATTTAAACACCAACTTCTAYCGCAACTTTAACACGGAGTACCGCCAATTCTCCGGCATATTCTATCAAACAGGCGTTCAGGACGTCGCGGAAAAGTTCGCGCACGAGAAAAATGCCTGAAAAAGCCACAAGTAATTATTGACTACACAGAATTTTGTTCCAGGGACAATGGCATTATTACTAATCAACAAAAAAACTTAAAATTTAAATTTCCATATTATAACCATGATTGTTAACTCGAAAAAGGTCAAGCCAAATGTGGACTTATTCTTGGAATCAGATGAGAATTACTTCATTTAATGCAACCAACAAGTTACCCAAACAAAAACACGAACATCGAAAAAGATCCGGAATTTTTACAGGTCGTCCTGCTCGTTTTCCCTTAACGGGAAAATATGCACAAATCCTAACACTGTTGGCTATAAATGAGAATTTCAATCGCAAAGAATTCCAGCAATGCGCTGCGTACAGGATGAGAAGATTGCCCGATTACACAACTAGCTGATAACGCCCAATGATTTTCCTTTCGAGATCACAGGCATAAATGATAAGCAAAAGCAAAAAATCTGCGCCTCTACTTTGGCCGTATAATAAACAAATTAAAGGAAGAATCTTTAGGTGCCAACTGAGTAAGAGTTAAAACATGTCGCATTTGGATAGGTGAGTGTGCCTGTGCCAGTTCCTCAAACTAAAAATAAACGAACTGCATAAAAAGTAGTTTATTATAAACTGTAAGAAAGGACATTTTTGGTCACGCTTTAAATAAATACAAAGTGAGTTCCGTCTCCTCAGACGACAAAATGTGGGCAACAATTATGTCTAATCCAGGTAATCCACATTTGCTATAAATATCTCGTCTAAATTTACAGTAAAAACATAACATATACACTTAAGCTACCATCAACAATTTATTGTCGACAAATAACGTATAATATTGTTTCAGTCTTTTAAGCCAATCTGGCAGAGTATATGTATTGGAACAGGCCACAGATGGAACGATATATTCGAATATGTGACTTGGTTGATGCAAAATTCAACTCTAACGTGTAAAAAGATCGATTCCATAGAGGACACAGACACGAAATGCTATTTTAAATGTTTGTACGGAAACGGGAATGATGCCATTAATCGCAGACCAGGCGGAGGAGGCGAAATCGACTCGAAAATCAAACCGGAGAATGATCAGACATTATTATGTTAGCCACACCCACAGATTATATGCGAAAGCACACTCTGCGTTAATATCACAAGCGTATATGAGATTTAGTGTATGTACATTTAAAACATGTATGCCTCTCTCCTCCCCAAAACTTCCCGTCATTTATATTAATTAGGCTAAAAAAACCTACCCGAAGGACCTCCGGACCCGCCATTCTGAGGCATATTCCAACTATTCCAATTTGTGGTACCATTTCCTAAATGTACGAAGATGCCAAAATTTATAATTTGTACGATATTAGATTTTAAAGGTAGCTAGGTCGTAGGTCTTCTACTCAACGGACAGTGCCACGTACTTTAATTCCCACCTTTGAGGGATTTGTTTAAATTGAGTGTGGTAGAAACTAATTGCAAAAAAACGCTTTCTAAACAATACTACAAAACCAAGGAAAAACGTGTCAATACAGCCATTTACAGATGTCCTAGCCTGCCAAATTTATTAAATTTTTCTACAATCCCCGATACCGTTTTTAACAAAGCAACTAGTGCGTAGTTGCCTAATTTAACTACGATACATTTGTTATTTTTTGCCCGGGTGTGTCAGTTGCAAAGGCTCTTGCTTAAGATCCTTATTTCAACGTTGCATACACTGGATTGCCTAACTCAAAGAATAACTCACCATATGAGCCGTATCCTTGTTGGGTTGGCGGACCACCATAGCTGTTGCCCCATTGAGGGGGAGGTCCTTGGGGAGCAGGCGGAGCGCCCCAACCCTGGTAAGAGCCAGGCCCCGATGGCGTTCCATAGCCAGCATTGTACTGCTGTTGGGGAGACGTGCCCCAACCCTAAGCGAGAAAAAATATTATGTGCAATGATTGTAAAAAATGTCACCAATCTGAACCTACCAAATATCCTTGATTCATATTCGGTCCCATTGGGGCACCCATGTTCATCGGGGGTCCGCCCATTTGGCCGTTCGGGCCCTGCATCATGCCCAATGGGGCCTGGGGTGGGCCCCAAGCGGAAGAACCGTCGCTGCCTCCCATTTTGTTACCACCGGATCCATCGCGTGGTTCTGCTTTTTTAATTTCAACCTAAACAGATTGGAAGCATTAATATTTCTTTCAAGGGCAAAGAGCGGAAGGAAGTGTATCATCTTGATTCACTCCAGTGTACTATCGTAGATACGCCGGAGGCGACAAGATGATTTTCTATAGCACCGTGCGAAATTCAACCAGCTATTGAGTAGCTAGTCGGAATGTGCACCGTGCCGGTAATAAATCATGAATTCACACAAAAACAACTTACCTGTTTTCCGTTGAGGTTCACAAAGTGTTCAGAGACACACCTATCAACTGCCTCGTCGTCCTCAAAGGACAGAAAACCAAAACCTGTAAAAAGCCAAATCAATTCAATAGTGTTCTACACACGTGGAACGGATCGAAGTGTGGGGTTTTATTATGGAAATCCGTTGAGGACAAAATCCCTCAATTCACCGAAATCAGTTGACCAGTTGATGACCCGCCCATTAGTCGATGTTAAATTGAAGCTCTGGTCTTACCTCTAGATTTCTTTTTCTCCTGATCGTACATTATTACGACCTCCATGACTTTACCGAATCGGGTAAAAAAACTCCTCAAATCTGTTTCGGTAACATTTGATGGCAGCCCGCCCAAGAATACCTTCGGGTATCCACCGCCTTTTTTGGGCTTCTGGAGAGTCCTTGGGTTGCAAGGCTTTGGATCAATAGTTCTGAAAGACCAAAAACGCATATCACCGCACAATCCGGTGATAAGATTTCGCAGGTTTTACACTGTTTCTTATTGATTCACTCCAGTGCACTATTGAGATGCAGCGGAGGCGACAACAAGAAGTTTATCTAGCACAGATGCAGCTCCGACCAGCTTTATTAATACTAGTCAGATAAGCACCATGCAACCACACAATTGAAACATTGCGCCTACCTGCCGTCAAGTGTATGGGGTCCGTTTTGCAAAACAACATTTACGTTAGCGGGATCAGCAAAAGTAACGAAACCGAAACCCCGGGATCTTCCAGATTCCGCGTTCTTCATGACGACACAGTCAATGACCTCGCCGTATCTCGAAAAGTACCTCTGCAAATTGTCTTGAGTGGTCTCCCAGGATAAACCTCCCACAAAAAGTTTCCTGGAAAAGACAAACGTTTTGTTAACAAGCGTGTTTTTCCGCGGTATTCAGTACATGTTCCCTCAATTGTACACATAAAATATTCTTGAGGAGATTAAATTGTCCTCAACAGACCAGTCTTAGAAGCGCAGCTCTATCTTAAACATTTGCCCAAATTAATCCGAAGTAGACCGGGCACATAAAAAACCTTAAGTGATCTACTACCTGAACCAAATCTAATGACCCAATTGTATGAAACCAGCAATCACATTCTAGAAAGCAACAGTGGCTTTTTCGGTTATATAAGAATGGTTACTTCACTGCAGTGCTGCTTAAATATTGTGTTGTGGAGAATGTCGGAGAAAAAATTGACTTTTGCATTTTTTGCAATTCTTTATAACAAACCATGCAGTTTCAATTTCCAATCCTACTGTCTTGGTAATAAAGGGACCATCTGCAATGTGGCCTCATTTTTAAAGACTTCCCTAGGCCTTTACTGAAAGATTTTTCAGCGTTAAATAATCAATTGCCTTTCAAATGGCGTTTCTTAAGTGGACGCTGAGCCCACACAGCAATGGTTTTTTCATGTTCTTGCTAAATCAATTTTCGAATAAAATATCGTGACGTAAAAAATTATCTATTGAAAAAATGAGCTACTTTAACTGAATCAGATACTTCAAAGTATCAAATTTATCTTATTGAAGTGGCTATCGAAAGTGTATTCTGAAAACCCGTAAAATTGATGCTTTTGGGGTTCTGATCGAACAGTTCTTAACAGGACATTTTCCATATACTACATAAAAAGTACGGTCCATTCATTGGTATATAAAAAAACACGTGGTTTGAAGAGTATACACTTCCAAAATTTGAGACATCACGAAAAGTATGGCCTTAAATCTTATTTACAACGGGCTTTTATGCAAAAATCTAGATTTGTCACAGATTACATCTAATCGTTGAGCCTTGTCGCAACTTTTTTAGTGAAGCAAACGTATCTGGAAACAAACTAAATTCGTCTCTTTTTCCCACGTGCTTTGGGTCTTAGAACGTATTTCGAGTTCCGTTATTCCTAATGGCGCTATGGAACAACCCATGCTACCTTCGTAAGCCGTTCAAGACAACCGATGTTAACAACACCAATGCCTCATAACTGCTTTTACAATGGAAAAACCCGATTAGCTAAAAACACGTGGAAAATAGGGTCTTTTAGAGCCCGTATCTTTCTATGGCAGATAGTAGAAAGATACTTTGTCAACGCCGTAATGCGAAAACAAGCAAAAGAACATAGAATGTGCTCCCAGATGAAGAAACACCATGTGTTTTGTTAACCTCAAACCTATGGGGGTTGTAGCGCCCGCAACTTCACATGGCCGAAGTTTTGGAAATTATCAAAACGCCAGCCCTAAATCGACTCAAGCGTTACAAGGTGCAACACATTCCCTTTGAGACAAATGTGGTTTTGATTGTCCCATGAAGTGGGGTGGAGACCGTGATTGGTCTCGAATTACTAACATCCCTGAGAATGAGCCCCTTTGATCCTGAGCTTTTGCATTGGAAAGGCCAAATGCGTAAAGGAATCGCACTGAGCCAAGATAACCTGGAAAGTTGTGTTTCATTCCGTACAATTGGCTACAAAAAGTTACTTCCTGAATCGAACGATTGCGCTTAATCGGGCAAACCAAAGCCCCAGGGCTCCCGTGGCAGAAGGTGAATGGGGAAATGTGAAAACCACTGCAGTTCCATTGCCATGTGCGCTGGGAAAAGTGGACTTTACCAACCAGGAAAATGCAACAAATTTCCTTTCAAATGAGCTCGTTTTATGAAAACATAAAGTGAGGTTACGTGATTAGTGTCCCGTTACGCCTTGTGGCCCCGAGAATTAACGAAAGTGACAAACACGAATTGCCTTATGGAAACTGCCCCCATAGTGCAGCAACTGGCAACGGGTTGAGAAAACATGGAAAATGCCTGCGAAAGCGAAACTTAGATAAGAAACCAGCGGGCTTTCCGTTCTTTGACCGCTCGATGTGTCGCTTGGGGTCGCTGAACGGTGGTGCGGTGAAAACCGGTACATCACCATAATGTGTGGATTTCGACAATGGGGGCTGGGGGATGGCGTTTGAGAGAAATGCGGAGAGCCACGTTGCATGGTGTTGGGAGGGTTTTAGGCGGCGATGGGAAAGGAAAAGCACTGCACACGACGTGCGTACACGCCGTGTGACCTACAAAGCGGCCACAATCAAATATGGCTAATAACTAGACAAATACCCCTTTTCGTCGTCGTCCATCATCTCGTGCTTGAGCCTCAACATTCGCATGCTATTCGAAGCCACTAATTAACAGGAAAAAGCGATTTCACCGCCGGTCTCGCACACGGCATTCACCACGTATCACAAAAAGCGACGGAACTCGAACTGCGAACTGCAATGGCAGCTCACCGACTTCCGTCAATTTCTTGAGTGCGTGACTCAAAGCGCCACCGCAAATTCTCGCGCAGAAAATTTATAGAAAATTTACTTACCCATATTCAAAATCTTCCATTATTCTAACGTCACCTCAGCACTGTTAATGACTCCTTAAACTAAACTTAAAATTAATTAAATCTAGAGGACTACCCTAAATTATCTACGGCTTAGAAGGAATAAACAGCCAGATATGTCACATAGTCGAGGACGAATGAGGAGTTCGAGCGGCCACCATTTTCTGACAAGGGAAGGGGTAACATGCCGTAGAGGGCGCCACCGCCAGCTTGCCCAAGATCCAACTATTTTTAATTTTCTTGCTAAAATCCCCGAATTCCCACAGGAAATCATTCAGTTTTCAATAATCCAACCCCAACTAATAATTCTCATGTCCAGACACCGCTTTCATGCAGTAGTAAGCCC